AATATGCATGTTTGTATGAAAATGATGATGCTACATGATGATATGGGAGGCTTGTGATGAATTGTTCATGACTAAATGATTTTTGTTGATAATGATGATATATGTCCTTGTACATGATGATGTGATGATCATATTGATATTGTAGAAATATACTTTCCGATTTGGAATTGTTGATAGTTGATGGTTTATGTTTTGGTTGAGTAAGTAATCTCGTTTGTATACATTTTACTTAACGTTGAGATTGATAAATTATATGTATGCATGCATGTACAATAGTTGATGTTCCATTGGTTGGATTTGATGGCATGTGTATGTTAAGATTGTTGTGAGTCTTAATTGCATGCATTGGTTATATTGTACATTGCATGGCATGGTGGTCTTGAAACAGAGACGGTGGAACTTTGGGTCCACAATATCTAGACGGTGACCCTATTGTGGGAAAAGACGTAGTGACCTTGATCCGGAAGGGAAACATAGGTGGTGGAACTTTGGGTCCACAATATCTAGACGGTGACCCTATTGTGGGAAAAGACGTAGTGACCTTGATCCGGAAGGGAAACATAGGTGGTGGAACATTGGGTCCACAATAACTAGACGGTGACCCTATTGTGGGAAAAGACGTAGTGACCTTGATCCAGAATGGAAACATAGGTGGTGGAATCTTGGGTCCACGAGTCGGTACCACATTTGCATACGTTGAGTCGTGTTGTGAGTCACATGTATAATTATGCATGATATGTATGTATGTTGATGTGTTTGATTATGTGTCAATATTGTTGTTGTTTGAATTATGGTTATGTGCCAAGGATGTGAGTATTCGGATAATCGGTTTACATGGTTAATGTGTTGGAAATGGATTCCTTGAGTAAGGATGTTACAGGTGATAAAATGAACATGATCATTATGTATTGCTTTATTTGTTGCCATTTCATTTACTTAAAATTACATGTTATATGATTATTGGAATTCTTACCCTTTTGTTGGCCAATGTTTTTGATGGCATTGTGCAGGTACCGAGGACGGTAGCGCGAGGCGCTAGCTAACGGATGCATTGGATTGCAATCTGTTTTATTTTGATTAGAGTCGAGTCGATGCTCTGGTAGTAACACATGGGGGGGATTTATTTAGTGTCGAACTCGATTATTTTGTATTTGGATTATGATGTATATAATCCTTATTCGTGTATATGGTGTTTTGTAGATGTGAGACTTGATAACATATGCTTATGTGAATTATGATGGCTTGATGCCTTGAATTATGTTTTGATTCCTCCATAAATGGAGATGATGTGAAATTATGAAACTCCGTTGCGTTTGCACGAGAGAATGAAGTAAATATTTATTGTATGTTTGTTTTGTGTTGGAATGCTTATACTTTCAAACATACCCTGTCCGTTTTCCTTAAAAACTTTGGAATGTGATGTGTGCTGTGGCATCCCTTCCGTGCAATTTTATTTCTCTGATTTTTTATCTTTACCTTTAATTGGGGTATTTAGAAGGGGTGTTACAGTGAGAAAGGCTCTCCAAATCTCAAGACCTTCGAATTGGTGTTCAATGGCAAGGGCATGGAGTTTTCTTCTAAACCAATTTGACCCATGACTCTAATTAACGAAAGGGGCCATAGAAGGAGTGAACATGCGTCACCTTGCAAACATCATAAAGTAATCAATGAAGGTTTCTTATGTCGAATGCCTTGTGTCAGCTGGAGTAATTAGGACAAGTTTGATGCCTTTGATGTGTCAATTTTAAATTTCTTCAGCATGGTCAGTTGGTATGTCTACCTTCATAGAAGACTAGAACATGGCATTGAGCCAAAGTTGTAGAAGCCAAAAAGGGCCAACAAGCAAGAGGATAGCATTAGGTTTAAAGTTTTTTAGGGAATGAGATGCAAGCCCCAATTATTCATATAGGGAGCCTAAGATCAAATGGCTTAAGCAAAAGTTTCTCCCTTCATGTAATTTGTTAGCCAAGGTGACAATTTCTTGGCTACTTTCAGAGATCTAGAACAGAAAATGTACTGTGATAACCATAATGTCAAAAAGGAGATATGTTCTTCATCTGACACATCTCCAATTTCGTCCTTATTATGGTTAGTGATGAAGTTAGTTTAGCTAGAACGTTTGGAGATAATTGATGGTATATTCATCCTATATGGTAGGGTTAAAAACATCACCAGTCAGACGCAAACCAGTAATTACGGCTACGTCAAACAAAATTGCTGTGATCATCCCATAACGGAGTTGAAATGTGTTTGTCGAACTTTCCCAGAATTGCAGTGTTGTGATGAGCGTGTTTGAACTGTACGTAGGGCCAACCCTAGACAGTTAGATCAAGTCAAAAAGACCTTATTTCTTCCAAACTTGCATTTTTTTATTTCACATTATTAGTCACTGGATGTAATCTTTTTGCTTGGCATAAGGTGCAAAAAGGAAGATGTGGTAGGAAGCACTTATGATGCTCAGGTCATACGCTTGATTCAAGCAAACACGGGGTTAGGTGTGATGGTAGCAAGGGAAGATTTCCCTCACTTTCTTAGTGTTTTGAATAGGGTCAAAAATGGACCCGGGAATGCATGTACGGTATCAGAGATGGAAAAAGAAATAAGTACATGAGATTTCCATATTAGATCTTTATCTTCCTCCATCGGTGGCTCAGGAATGTAAACCTGGTTCCCAACGGGAATAGGGACTTTAATGGCTGCAGCGAAAGGTAGCTTTTTCTCTGGATTCAAGAAAGGTGCCATTGTTCGGTGAATAGCTTTGGAAAAGATGAAGTTTTAAAGAAAGTTTGCAGTTCTTCTAAAAAAACTGAGAAGTTGGAGAGGAAGCGGGAAAAGAAGAAAAATGACGAAAGAGAGTATATATAAAACGACTTTTCATTTCTCTTTTTCTCTCTCTTGAAAATCGAAGGTTGGCACCTTTGAAATGACACGTGTCTTTTCATTCAGAGGGGAATTGGAAGAAGTTAGTTTTGGTTGGCCCACTTTCTTCCTGGGAAAACTGAGCCATGATGGAAATCCTTTAGGTACACGTCTCGAAGAGATGTTTTGATAAAGTGGTTATGATGACAATGACATCAGTGCACAACTCATAAATAATATTGGAAGTTTAAAAAATGCCGCATGTCTCTCAGATGGTCAGAAGTGCCATTTTTAGGGGGAAATTTGTTAGCATGGAATTTTGTACGTGCTTAATTCGACAAAGAGAATATGATGTTGAGATAATACATAGTTAAATATGAGAACATGTGGTTATATGTTCGACAAAGATAGTTTTTTACTATTGGTGTTGAATTTGGAACACTCGCCCTAAGTTCTCTAATTTAGCATATTTTCCAGAATTATGAGAATGTTTTTCCATTACTCGACTGGTGGAATCGTCGACCACTATAGTTGAGATGAGATAAAAGGATCAAATTGAATAACAATTTTTTGATCTTATCAAGACATCAAAGACACACAGAAGTAAGTTAGATGTTTGAAAACTATACAGAGAGTGATATGTCGAAAGCTAAATACATAATCGTTGTAGGAAATTATTTTTATACTAGTATATATAGTGGTTCTAGCGTTAGAAATTGTGTGGCAATATCATTGTAAAATCTCTATAAAGCTTAAAGTACACAAGTCAGAACGAGAAATGAGTTTGTTAGGAGTATGTATAATTATGCACACAAACTTTTACACATTTAGTCAAAAAAAATTCATTTACTTTCGTCTCCTTTGTTCCAATCTTCGTTATTCATTTCCAATTTATTTCTAGATTTAGACATAGTCGACGCGTAGCTCATCCATATTGGATTGCTTCTCCACTAGGACTTCATATTCACCCAAAATAGATGTATTTCTCGTGCTCACCATTGAGAAACAATGGCTGAAGTAATCTAAAGATTTAAAAAAAACATTGTGGTCCAGATCAGTTTTAGACCATGTGGTGGACGTGGTTGTCAGTTGTACTTGCGGTGAATACAATAGAGGTGACCTTACTTGTGATTAACCAAGCTAAGACCTTTAGATTTCTGATATGAGAATAAGTGATAGATCAACCAAACTATTAAGTTAGATATTTATAACTCTGGTCTCTCTTAGAGAAAGATTGAATCCTATGCATATATCTTTGGTCGTGTACAGTCAAACACTAAACAAATAGTAAGGGTAGTGAATGATTTATCCTTTTAATATGTGAGACATTGTCAATCAATCAATGAAATTACTTGATATTCTTTGATTATGGTCAAGAAAATCTTGCTGGTGGCTCAGAACATGCTTGACGCGTCAAGCCCTATAAAACATGAGGGTGTGGTATGCTTATAGTCGTGTCTACCAGATGACCTGACCCAACTTTTATTTGTGACTATGTCATATTTGTGACGATGTCATATTTATGTGCCTGAGAGTTAATAGACCATAACATTAAACAAATAACTTTCTTCTTTCTAGATGTAGGGTTCACTTCCTCCAATTTTTTAGCAATACTATATTTGATACTTTTGAAGCATTGTAAATTTGTTTGTCAAAAAATTATGTATTTATGAGAAATTTTATGTATTATATTTCTCTATTTCTTTTTTTCTTCTATTAAAATGAATTTTGTTCTTAAATATTTCATTGTTAATAGATTTTTCTGTTTTATCCATCTCTTCATCTATGAATTTGTGTGACAACAATATAACAGTAACGAGAATCCAGCTAGAACCGCTCTAACGCCTGAAAAATCAAGAGACATTAAGTAAAGCATGCTCTAACGCACCATGATTGTTTGTCAAATTTTAACATCTATATATTTAGGTTAATTCTTAGATAAAAATCAAACTATTTAAATTTCCAATAAGTAACTGTTGTAAAATATTGAAGCATGGGATCCTATTTTATGTTTTAACATGTTGTACTTACTTCTTATCCAAAAATCTATGGTCAGCATCCATTTGGTGGCCAAGGCATTTGTCCTATATATATGTACCAACAGCAAGCAAATGAATTGAAGAATGATAATATCTGCAACCATGCAACACTTCTCCTCATGCATATTACTACTACTCCTAATCCTAACAACACATCACTTCATACCTTCACTCTCAGAAAAATGCAACCCACATGACAAAAAAGCCCTTCTTCAAATCAGAAAAGAACTCGGCAACCCAACCAAACTCTCTTCGTGGAACCCAAAAACTGACTGCTGTAACGGCAAATGGCTCGGTGTCGTGTGCGACACCGACACACAAACCTACCGTGTTACCAACCTCGGCCTCGACGAACTCGACCTTGTTAAACCCCTTCCAATTCCACCCTCCATTCCCAACCTCTCTTTCCTCTCCTTCCTCACTCTCACCCGCACTCCAAACCTCGTCGGCCCTATCCCGCCCTCCATCGCCAACCTCACCAAACTCATGTATCTCTATATCACCCAAACCGGTGTCTCCGGCGAGATACCCAACATTCTCTCACAGATCAAAACCCTCTTAACCATCGACTTAACCAACAACAAACTCACCGGTCCGCTCCCCGCCTCACTCTCCTCTCTCCCAAAACTCATCGGAATATCTTTCGACGGCAACCAACTCACCGGTACAATACCAGAATCATACAGCTCGTTTCCTAAGTCTTTCACAGTGCTAACCCTCTCAAAAAACCGCCTCTCCGGAAAAATCCCAGCATCTCTGACGAAACTGAACCTTGCATTTGTTGACTTAGAACAGAACGCATTGGAGGGTGATGCTTCGGTGTTTTTCGGGTCAAAGAAGAGCACTCAGAAGATATTATTGGGGAAGAACTCTTTTGCTTTTGATATTGGGAAAGTTGGGTTGTCGAAGGATTTGAATGCGCTGGATTTGAAGAACAATAAAATCTATGGTACACTACCTGTGGGACTAACGAAGTTAAAGTTTTTGAGGAAGTTCAATGTGAGTAACAATAATTTATGTGGAGAGATTCCACAAGGTGGTAAATTGCAGAGGTTTGATGAGTCTTCTTATGCTCATAATAAGTGCTTGTGTGGTTCTCCTCTAGAAGGTTGCAAAGCTTGAACTGAATCTAACAACTATGGCAATTTTAAATAAAATAGATGGCGATCTAGCTTTAAATTTAAATGCATAAGAAAAATGTGTTGTATTGTGTTGATGTAATTTTGGACAATTAATTACTAATCCCTCCATCTCTTATATGATGTGTCTCGTAAATTTATTTCTTTATTTTGTCAAATTATTTGTTTACAGTTAGCTCTAAGTGTTGCTTTTCATGGAAAACTAGTAATATATAATGGACCTGTAAATATGGAAGGCGTACTATTAATTTCAAGACGTACTATTATTAATTTAACGATAACTATATATTATGGACTTGTAAATATATATACGGAAGGAGTCATTAAAATATGTAATTTACATAACATATTTTAATTCAAATGTGCATTCAATCGCAAGTTCTACCTTTATATACGATGAGTAGTATCGAAGATATTCTTTTAAATTAAAAGACACTGATGGTTCACCGTAATCATTAAAACAAGCAGTCATTATCTCTCAAAAGAAAAGTCCGCTAAATCAAAACCTATGAAAGAGACTTAAGAAAAAAATTGAGACATTTCACTGACCGTAATCACAAAAGAAACAGTTCAGGAAAAAGGTAGGGATAACAAAATTAAAAAAAAGGTCGCTACGAATCCTCAACAAAAAATATTACAAAAAAATTGATGACTGCCTTCTCAAATAAACTTTCAGTTTCCGAACCATCAGCGAAATATCAGGGAAAAGATTCCAGACTCAATTGGGATCTAAACGCACAATTAACTGAGTATAGGACTTAAGAACATCACGAAGAACGGGTTGGATACAAATAAAGTTTGAGTATTTATCCTTTGTTTCTTAAACCGTGAACTAGGCCACGTTACAACCCTTAAAAGTCCTAGTTGAAGCGTGGGTTAGTTCAAAAGCATACTGTTACAAAAGGTATCTTGACTCCTGTAAGGTTTACTATAAATCCTAAGTTAAATTCATATTCATACAAAATTCTGTTTGTTTACTAAAAATCCATTTTTAAAACTTCAAGACAGACATAAGCTTTGCATTCTTTAAATGACATTGTTTGCATATGACTAATCATTCGACAGCAGAGAAAATCACACAGCAAAAATTCAATGAACAGAAATCCTCTCAAAGGACAGAATCACCTCAGTTGGAAAGACATTTCCAGTAACAGGCCTTTCATAATCAAGGGGCAGTCGAGTCAAGATTCGAGAAATCTCTCAAAAGGACCGAATAGCCAGGGACAAACCTCCATTTGAATCACAAGGGGCATGACATGGTGTCTTACTGATCTGGGGGCAGTCGAGTCAAGATTCGAGGAATCTCTCAAAAGCATTGAATAGCCAGGAGCAGATCTCCATCTAAATCACTTGAGGCACTGAACATGAATTCTAGCAAAAGATCATGTACGATCGAGCAAACATTTTTCTGGCAGTGCTACAACACTTACTACTATGGACAGTGACAATTCTCTGCACCATATGAATACGGACATAGTCGAAAAATACTACGCATGAAAAAAGACCCGCAAGGTTGACTGGCCTAGGCAAAAATAAGGGCATCCCGGTGAACCAAAAGAGTTCGGGCAAAAATTAGGGATATATAAATAAAAATGTACACCCGACAAGTCGAAAACCTAAAAAGGCAGCTTGGGCAAAAAAGGATATTCTGGTGGACTGAAAATCTGAAAGGAAAGTCCAGGCAAAAGTTAGGGATTAAAGTGTACGACTATATCCCGTCATCTCGTCACTTGTCTATCGGTAGAAGACTTATCGTCCTGATCAGCATTCACCAAGGGCTCTAGAAGTTGAGGTATGTTCAAAGTCTCCACGGATCCCCACATAGCCAATTCATGAAGTAATCTTCACAAAGTCATACATTCCCCACAATTTCCCCGGCAGATTGCTCTGGCGGATAAAGGAGTATGATCTTCTTCCTGGCAATATCACCAACCTACGGAGTTTCAATCAGTACAGCTCATGGAGTTTTTCTTCCCCAACTGAGCTTGTTCCTCCAAGGTTGTAAAACCCCCTTCAGACTTCTGCTCTTCAGCAGAGTTCATTTCATTAACAAGGGTGTTTCCTCAGCAAGAGTACTTCTCCATCAATAGGGTTTATTTCCCCCAAACAGTTTATCATCTTCTAGATACAGTGCAGATACAATTAAGACACAGATTAATTTTGGCACTCATTCTAGATTTCTCTTCTAGATACAATACAGATACAATCAAAACACAGATTTATTCTGGAACTCATTCTAGATTTCTCTTTTAGATACAGTTCAGATATGATCCAGATATGGATGTCATTCTGATACTCATTTAGTACATTTTTCAGATTGGTTCAGATACAGTCCAGATATGGATATTATTCTGATACCCATTCAATACATCTTCATATACAATCAAGGCATGGGTTTATTCTGACACTCCCCAGCTTGAGTGTGCTTTTACCACAAATCACTGGCAAATCCCTCTCTCCAGTGAAGTCGTCACTATCCCCATAGAGTTGCTATGGAACCTGGAAACCGGACCAAATGTCAGTCAACTTTATCCTCCCCAGGCGAGCCGAAAGGTTATTCATCTCTTTTATTCCCAGTCAGGGTGTAAACTCCCCATTAGAACAATGAACATCCAATGTTCTTAAACTCTTCTCTCCAATCAAGAATTAACACGATCCAACAGAGTTTCCTCAAGAAAAGAGCAAAAATCAATATTCCCCAGCAGAGTTTCCTCGAACAAGAAAGCAGGGATCCCTAGTTGAAACAATTCCTAGAAGATCGAATATACACATACTCTTCATCCCCAGCAACAGTCAAGGATTTATTTTCCCCAGACAAAGATGCTTGAGTTTACAAATGCACCTCAATAACATTTCACACTCATACATCATTTACAAACAACATAGCATATGCACACAAAACGCATATAGCACAATCTCGTCTATTTTGATAGCATCATTACGCAATACAATACCTACATCATTCCATTGCATAAAACTAACTTTGTCTTTTCAGGTTAGTTCCTGAACAGATAGAGATTGTCAACATTTTATCATCTTCCAGATGCGATTCAGATACGCTCCAAATACGGATGTCATACTAATACTCATTTCAGATCATCTTTCAGATACAGTTCTGATACGCTCCAAATATGGATGTCATTCTGATACTCATTCAGTATATCTTTCCGATATAGTTCAGATACGCTCCAGATACGGATGTCATTCTGATACTCATTCTAGATCATCTTTCAGATACAGTTCAGATACGCTCCAAATATGGATGTCATTGTAATACTCATTCAGTACATCTTTCAGATACACTCCAGATACGGATGTCATTCTGATACTCATTCAGTATATCTTTCAGATATAGTTCAGATACGATCCAAATACAAATGTCATTCTGATACTCATTCAGTACATCTTTCAGATACAGTTCAGATATGATCCAGATATGGATGTCATTCTGATACTCATTCAGTACATCTTTCAGATACAGTTTAGATATGCTCCAAATACATATGACGTTCTGATACTCATTCAGTACATATTTCAGATACAGTTCAGATACGCTCCAGATACAGATTCCATTCTTATACTCATTCAGTACATCTTTTAGATACAGTTCAGATACACTCCAAATAAGGATGTCATTCTGATACTTATTCATTACATCTTTCAGATACGCTCCAAATACGGATGTCATTCTGATACTCATTCAGTACATCTTTCAGATATAGTTCAGATACACTCCGGATACGGATGTTATTTTGATACTCATTTAGTACATATTTCATATACAGTTCAGATACACTCAAAATATGGATGTCATTCTGATACTCATTCAGTACATATTTCAGATATAGTTCAGATACGCTCCAAATACGAATGTCATTCTGATACTCATTCAATACATCTTTCAGTTTAGATATGATCAAGATATAGATTCATTCTGATACTCATACTCAATACATCTCCAAATACAATCATGACATAGATTCATTCTGACACTCCCTAACACATCTTCTAGATACAATCGGATACAAACTCATTCTAGTATACTTCTCATACGAAGTCAGATACAAAGACCTCTTTTGGCTCAGATAAAATAAACCATATATTTATTCTGATACTTTTTTCCAGTTTTGAGTCAACATTTACTTTGGATGGCATCTATAAGCCTATCTCTGACGACTCTTAGTCATCTTCTCCAAATGGCATCTATAAGCCCATTCCTGACATCATCAACTAATAACATTACTTCATGCACAGGTGAGTGCAAATTTTTGGGCACTCTAGTGTTCAATCATCTTCCACCTTCAGATTACGAATGGTAGACAGGTCAATCTAACTCTTCAGGTTTAAGAAGATTGAACAGGGGCAGTTGTTGTACCCTAAAATTTTCCCTCTCGTTTTATTCAATAGATACTCATAGAGGTCCCCAAATGCTCAAGGTTGACTAAGAATTGACCAGACAAATTCTCCTCCTAAGCAATAGATCTCCAACTAGGGTTTCATTTTTCACAAAGAAGTTTGGGTTTCAAAGGCCTCAAGTGATTTTCATGGTTCCTAATATGTCCTTAATAATATCCATGCCAAGTTTCATGCCTTGCGTCACAAGTTTGCTCAATCAATGGCTCAAATATTTGAAAATCAACTATATTGGTCAAAAAGTCAATTGTGGTCAATATACAGTCAAATTTCAAGATTTTTGGTCAACATCAACATTTTTAAGTTATATTCATCATTTGATCAAGGGTTGATCATGATTCCTCAAGGAAAGTCCTCAGATCATCAAAAGTCAAGAATTGTCAAGTTAGGGTTTCCTTAAGAGAAGTCAACTGAACTTTGACCAGGCATAACTTTCACATGTTTCATCAAATTTCTCCTAAACAAATCCTATTTTGAAGAAAATTCAATTTCCTACAACTTTTATTTTATTCTCTTCTCCAAAAGATGCATCATTTGAAATATATGATCTCATACATTACAGGTCATTTT